AGAGGTAGAGGTAGAGGTAGAGGTAGAGGTAGAGGTAGAGGTAGAGGGTTACATCTGGAAGCTGGGCTTGCTGTCTGTTGCTGGGCTATCTGTGAGACAAATCTATATTTCTGAAGCTGCCTTTTTGCCAAGGGGTGTGTTTATGGGATGTTACTATATTGGAACAGGTAATTAGTTACTGTATCTATTATTAGTTAAGTTTTCTGATGGGTTATTCTAAGTTCTTCCTTCTTTTGTATTTTAACAATAATGTTTAAATAAATTGTGTTTTACTTAACATTGAGTAGTTTGACAAATCACATTGCGTCTAGAACATAGCACTTTATGTTTGCCGTTAAATTAAAGGAAGAAGTAGTTAGGATAGACTACCTTAAAATATTTTGAGGGGATCGGGTCCGGTCCATAACAGTTTGTTCATGGGATGAGTGTGTCGCTGGCTAGGCCAGCATTTCTTGCCCATCCCTAATTGCCCAGAGGACAGTTAAGAATCAGCCTCATTGCTGTAGGTCTGGAGTCATTTGTAGGCCAGACCATGGAAGGACTGCGGTTTCCGTCCCTTAAAGACATTAGTGAACCACATAGGTATTCCGACAATCAACAATGGATTCATAGTCATCATTAGACTATTAATTCCAGATTTCTTTTTTGTATATTGAATTTAAATTCCACCATCTGCCATGGTGGGATTCAAACCCGGGACCCCAGAACATTGTCTGGGTCTCTGGATTCTGGATTAACGATCCAGCGATTATACCATTAAGCCATCACCTCCCCCAGATCCTGTTCTGAGTGGGAATGTTTTTTTCCTCATCTATCTACTTTAATCAGCCCCCTCATGATTTTGAAAACATCTATCTGATCTCGTTTTAGACTTGCCATCTTCAGGGAGAACAGTAGCAATCTCTTCAAACTATCCTCATAACTGAAGTTTCTCATCCCTGGAACCATTCTTGTGTAAATCACTTCCCTCTCCCCAATGCAATCACATTCTTAACATAATGTGGTGCCCAGAACTGCACTCAGTGGTCCAACAAGTCTCTTAGACGAGTTCAACATCACTTCCTTGCTCTTGTACTCTGTCCTTGTTAATAAAACTGAGGATAAACTATGCTCAGCCTGAATAAGCAATCAGAATCACACCCATAGGGCATGCAGCAGAAGTTTCTATTGTGCAGCAAGTTATTGTGGTCTCATGCATGCAAACCAATTCTGTCCCATCTTGCATTAATGTTATGTTGTCTGTGTTTAGGACTGTGCCTGATTGAAGCAAAGCTAGCAGAGATCCAGCATGTCGATTCCAGCAGGTAATCCCTGACTGATAAACATTGCAGAATGAAGGAACACAGCCCGGCACTGGGGGCATCGAAGTGGGGAGGGGAGACTGCAAGGGATTGGGACCTGGGGGTGGAGATGGTGGGGGACAGGGGACTGGTGGTTTTCCCAAGTAGTTGTTGCCCTTCTGGATGGTAATGGTTGTGGGTTTGGAGGGTGCTCTTTGAGGACATACTGCTGCTACTGAGCGTTGGTGGGTGGAGGGAATGTTGAAGGTGCTGGACTGGGGAGCCAGTCAAGTGGGATGCTCAGTCCTGGATTTAGCAGTAATAACGACTTTATAACGTCAATAGTGATGCCATTGAATAAACAGGGCCAATAGTGAAATTCTCTAGTTGGAGGTAGTTCCCTGGCACTTGGGCGATGTGAATGTTACTTGAAACCTACCAGTTCATGCCTGAATGTTGTCTGTACCTTGGATATGCTCACGGACTGATTCAGCATCTGAGGAGTGGCTGCTCTGTACTGGAGAAGGGTTAAACCTGTGCCAAAAGGTGGGATATCTTGAAGGTTTGATGGGTAACTGCATTCATTCCTTTGTTGACCTGACCCTGTTTTTAACTTGTAGATGTGTTGCACCGATTTCTCAATGAGTTTCTGTTCTTTAATGGGAATTTCTCTCTGTCTCGCTCCAGGTGGTGGGCCTCAGTGCTGTGTGGGATCGTCATGGTGTGTGCAGGAGCTTTCATCTTTGGCCAGAGTACGGTGAACTCTATCTTCCAGGACCTCCGTAACTGAGCACCAGACCCTGCAGCCCCCTCTTTATCCTCCTTTTGCAACGTTTTCCACAGTGGACTGGTGACCAGTTGATGTAATCGAAGGGCATTGAAACGAAGCCCCAGCGCAATGTTTACACAGATGCTACTGGGACCTGTCAGCCGAGACTCAACTACAATTGCCCATGTTGTCAGAGGATCAGACTCTGCAACAAATTGGTGCTCTGTTATTCCCTGTTCGGAATGTTGCAATCCCGGTGATTCTGACACTTTCTTGAGCATTGGTGTGTCACAGGATTTTTTTTCTAACCCTTGAGGTCTTCTGCTACCTGTTTACCTGCCTCCTTTGAAAGCTGCTGCCTGTGTAGAGGAGGCAATGAGGTGAATCAGACTGCACTGTCTCAGCTGTGATCACAGGAGTGTTTGTAGCATCTTTTGGAAATGAGTCCCCAGGGCCTAGTTCAGTGTAGCAGCTCAGATTCCATCTTTAGAACCTGCTCCATTTCTCGACCAGAGGTTTGTGTGACTTTGATCCAGTGCAGAAAGTAGCTGATGACCATTCCCTTTCCAGAAAGTTTGTTTGTTTTTGTCCAGAGCCCTCCCATTTGTCAGGAGATCTTTCTGTCCCACCAGGTGAGACCCCCTGCAAGATTTAGACTTCTAGATCAGCACCAAGTGGAAATGAGTGAGTTTCTGATCATTTCATTTCTGCTCGTGGTTGAACAGAGACTTTTATCCATGTCCAAGTCAAGCCATGCATTCCAATATGTGTGTTATGCTTGTATAAAGTGAGATGATTGTTCAAAATGTTTGCAAACGACTGCTCCTTATGGTGAGATTTTTAACATGTCAGTTCCTGATTAAATGGTCATTTTGGCAGTATAAGAATACGGTGCTTGAGAACACCAGAGCAGACTCGAGGGGCTGAATGACCCCTAATTCATTTGGTTGTAAATTCTTTGCCTACATCTAGGGGATGGTCTCTCGTGGCCCAGTGCTGTCAATGTCTCCCATGAGTGGGAAGTGAGCATTGCCAGTGAAATGATTGAAGGAGGGAGAGAAGATCTGATTTGTGGTTCTTGAACAGTGGAGCAGATTTGGTTTAATGCCACACAATCGGGCAGCTTTCCAGCCACACGTTCCAGATTGTAGACACTGGGTGTGGGTGGACAGCCTGTGTTTTCAGGGAGGCTCTCCTCTAAAAGCCCCAGTCAGCTGGCCAGTGTTTGTGATCCACCGTGGGACTCTCAAAGATAATGACTGAAAATCGCTGCCGTCTAATTGTTCTCCACTTTTTAATAAACTTTTACTAGGTTCATCTCTATTTAAAAATTGCTGTGCTTCAAAATAATCTTCAGAACAGAAGCCTTCATCCATCTTTCCTCTCTTTTCAAAATGTTGTAAATTCCAAACCTGATGTATTTGACACATCCTCCAGATGAAGCCCTATCTGCCTATTCCAGCTGAATGCATAGGAATATTCGTTTTTGCTACAATGGAAGCAAATCAGCCGTACAATGCCAAGGGGTCCTCATTTAGTACTGAGGTAGCCGAACACAACCAAGGCTTAAAGACTCGGCGTCCAATTCCTCTATAACTGCTCCCTTTAATATCTAGTCTATTCTCCTCACCACCCCTTCTTCTCCAATTCTGACCTTCACCAAATTCCTTCATCTGGCAGATTTGCATTCTGCTGTCTGGAAGCTCAGTTCTGGAATTTCCATGCCTCCTCTTCTGTTCAAACACTCTTTGACCAAGGCCTCTGTCACCTCTCCCTGTGTTACTCAGTTTCAGGATTTGCCTAATGATCAACCCTGTGAAGTGCCTTGCAATGTTTTGCTGGTTGGTGCTATACAAATGCAAAAACTCCTCCATGAGCTGGGTGGAGAAGGGAGCACCGGGTGTTCATCATTCATTTGCTGTCCTGGCCAGCATTTATTGCCCATCCTTAGTTGCCCTTGAGAAGGGGTGTGGTGAGCTGCCTCCTTGATTTGCTGCAGGTTCAGGGGCTCCATGCTGTAGGTTGACCCACAATGCTACTAGGGAAGTAATTCCAGAATTTTTACCCAGCATTACTGAAGGAATGTGCAATATATTTCGAAGTCTGGATGGTGTTCCCATGTATCTGCTGCCGTTGTGCTTCCAGATAGAAGCAGTCATAGGTTTGGAAGGTGCTATCTAAGGAACCTTGGTGAATTGTTGCAGTGCATCTTGTAGATGGTATGTACAATGGTGAGTGAGTGTTGAAGGTGCTGGATGTGGTGCCAATCATATGGGCTACCTTGTCCAGGATAGTGTCTAATTTGTGTTGGGGCTGCACTCATTCAGGCAAGTGGGGAGTATTCCATCACACTCCTGACTTGCATTTTGTAGACAGCAGACAGACTGTAGGAAGTCAGGAGATGAGTTTCTCATTAAAGAATTCCTAGCTTCTGATTTGCTCTTATAGTCACGGTGTTCAGTTCAGTTTCTGGTCAATGGTAACCCTCAGGGTGTTGAAAGTGGCAGCTTCAGTGATGGCAATGTCATTGAATGTCAAGGGTGATGGATTCTCTCTTGTTGGAGATGGTCATTGTCTGGCACTTTGTGTAGTCTGAATGTTATTTGCCGTTTGTCAACCAAACCTGGATGTTGCCAGTCTGAGTCGCTGATTACTAATCGCTGATCCACTGGCCAGTGTAACCAAGATTGACACCAAGAGATGTGAGAGCAGCATTATGTAAATGATGCATTATTGGAGTAGATGTCCTTCAGGGGAGGCACTATCAGCTTGTTCTAGCTGAATGATGTACCACATGATGGTACCAGCTTCCTGGGTAACAAGCCTCCTTCCAGATAACAGGTGTTACAACCCGTCCCTAGGTGAGGCTGTCGAACCCGTTTCCAAATAGAATGGCCCAAATGACCCTGGATGAGAAGCGATGGATGCCCCCCCCCCCACCCGACCCGCCGCGCCGCCACCCCCCCCGCGCCACCCAC